CTATTAATTTTTCACACACACACACACACACACACACACACACACACACACACACACACACACACACACACACACACACACACACACACAGGAAGCAGCCTGTAACAGCTGTATAACTCCCAGGTACCTATTTACTGCTAGGTAACAGGGGCATCAGGGGGAAAGAAACTCTGCCCATTTTGTTTCTGCCATCACCGGGGATCGAACCCGGACCCTAGGATTACGAGTCTAGAGTGCTGTCCACTTAGCTATCAGGCCCCCTCATGTGTGATATGGTCGTGATCAGCTCATGCTGATAGTCGTTGGACTTTTGTTCGAACCACAACGCTGTAAATGCTTCACCCACGTACTACAAATACAAATAATCGCCAAGAAAGCCTAATAAACACCTAACCTAACCAATGCCTAAATATGTACAGTATGCTAATATATAACAATATTAATTTATGTTTGAGAAAATTCCTATTCTGAACGAACAGCATGTTGATGAATGCGTCTTTGGGGTTGACCACTGGATGGAATGGATATAGCCTGAGGTGGAGTTGTAATAAATATTTTATCTGCGTTCTAATAATACAAATAATTATAAATAGAACCTAAACACCTAACGTAACCTAAAACAGGCGTAACTATACACCAAATTCAAATATATTATAATGCAAATTTATATACCGATTTTTAATGCTTAGTACCTTAAAATTTATAAATGTATCTTTCGGGCCGGCCGGCGCTTGGACGAGTCTAGGCTGCAGGACAGGTTGTCGTTGGACCCGCTTGGACGAGCCTAGCCCTAGGACAGGTTGTTGTTGGACCCGCTTGGACGAGCCTAGCCCTAGGACAGGTTGTCGTTGGACCCGCTTGGACGAGCCTAGCCCGAGGACAGGTTGTTGTTGGACCCGCTTGGACGAGCCTAGCCCGAGGACAGGTTGTTGTTGGACCCGCTTGGACGAGCCTAGCCCGAGGACAGGTTGTTGTTGGACCCGCTTGGACGAGCCTGGCCCGAGGACAGGTTGTTGAATCCGCTTGGACGAGCCTAGCCCGAGGACAGGTTGTTGAATCCGCTTGGACGAGCCTAGCCCGAGGACAGGTTGTTGCTGGACCCGCTTGGACGAGCCTAGCCCGAGGACAGGTTGTTGCTGGACCCGCTTGGACGAGCCTAGCCCGAGGACAGGTTGTTGCTGGATCCGCTTGGAGGAGCCTGGCCCGAGGACAGGTTGTTGTTGGATCCGCTTGGAGGAGCCTGGCCCGAGGACAGGTTGCTGTAGCACTATATCCACCACACTCCCACTTCAACAAAATCCTACATGAAAACGCGTGTTGCCAGCGTTTTTAAACCCCGCCGGCGCCAGGTGAAACCTTACACTCACCGCTAATCAATGCTAAGAAGACCTTTATCCCGGAAGACGACGCCAAGCTTTAGCCTTAATAGATGTAAGCAATTCTCGTCTGGGCCAGCCCAGGCCACTGACTTGTTCAGAGGTCACCACCCACACAATGGCCGCCTCTCCACCCCTCCTCCTCCCCTCTCATGGCTGAGGAAAATATATAAAGGTGGGAAGAGCTATATATCCGGCTGGTTAAACGGTTGATTGATGAAGATTTAGCCACCCAAGAGGTGGCACGGGCATGAATAGCCCGTAAGTAGTGGCCCTTTTGAGCCATTACCTGGACCGGGCCGCGGGGACACTAAAGCCCCGAAATCATCTCAAGATAACTGTACCTTATGTTTCCATGATGGCTGAGGGCAGTATTTCCGATGTTTGGCCGTGTTCTCCAAGATGTCAGAGTGTAATTTGGTGTTAGTTGACCGTTGATAGACGGCTGGGTTTGTTTGATGTGTAATGCCTCGTCAACGTCCAATCTTCTACTACCGCTGTATCTATTGTTGTTGTTTGTCAGGATTTCTCTGGTGATGAACTGGTTATGTGTAGAGACCTAGTGGCATTACAAGATTGTAAATACTATGCTATGTATTCTCTCTAACCCAATGTACCTTCTTGTATATAAATAAATAAATAAATAAATAAATAAATAAATAAATATATTCCTTCATACGACCTTGCTGTTTGTGCATTGTTAGGTGCCTTGAACAGAATATTGTTGTCTTGCCAATATATTGAGATCGTTGGGGCAATATATAGGAAATAATAAAGTTGTAAAATGAACTTTGGGGAGTTAACTTTTTAACTTCCTTCTCAAATGAAGAAAATCTGAAAAAATTTATTCTTGAATTATTGATCTCACCTTTTTTGTCATTTTCAATAACATGTTTTTTCTTCTTGATCAAATATTTTCACATGATTCATCGCATGTTAATTTGTGTGATATATACAGTATATCATATATTGGTGTATACTGGCAGCAGGTTTTCATTTATACATGTTTCATTGAATATGACTTTTTGCGGATTATGTCTTCTATCATTTATTTTATTTATGTTTTGTTCATTGTGCATGGTTGTTACAAATCAACCATGCACAGTGAACATAAAAAAAGAAGAATAATAAAAGCCATAATCCGTAAATCTGTAACACCATAACGGTGTTTAGTTTGTATTTTACATACAATATGAGTCAGCCAGACAGGATATTTGAAAGCCGCCAGGTTGTCAGGTTTCAGCAATTAAAAGTAATTAATTATCAAAGAAGGCACCAAGCCGGGAAGGATATGTAGCACCATCAAATGTGCGGAATAATCAGAGGGTACTAAATATCACCAAGGATGACAATAAGAGAACAGAAACGTATAAGGCGAACGATATCAAAAGTATCCGATTCACCAAGAATTCTATCGAGGGAAAAGTGACCGCGGGGGCACGGTCGGAAAGTAAGACACACGTTCGTCCTGGAAGTCAGGACATTCGACAAGGATAAGGCACAACTGTAAGAGGGAAACTTGCCAGGGCCCCCCAGGAGTGCGTCGTGAGTATACGCCCCACAAACGCCACCCTACGAACCGTCAGTCCGTCGAGATCGGGTTCAGCGACGAAAGGAGGATTGACAATAAAAAGGGTCCCCTCGCTCGAGACGTTGGGTACTACAGTTCTACAGGTGAGAGAGTATGCTTCCCCAAACACCCCGGCATCAAAACAGAAGAAGTCCGAAAGAATAATCAAGACTGGCAAAAAGTCGGCAGGAAATGACAATTAGAAAGGGGAAGAGGGGGGAAGAAAAATGAAACACAAGGAAAAGGAAAAAAAGAGTTCTGGCAAAATTGGTAAAGACAGCAGCAGGAGAATAAGGCTTCAAAAGGACAGAGGACTGACCCATGGAGCATCACACTCAGGCAGGGCTTGCCGGAGGAGGGCTTGCCCACCAAGCTACTTTGATAATGTGTTACAGACAAGTTCCATTCCTTGTCTTGTATGTACCGAATTTGAATGGATGGTGGCAGGTACACTTTTATCTTAATTTTCATCTTTAACCATTTCTTCTTTCTACCTTTTCTACTACTCTACTATCTTCTACTTTCCTCATTGATCCCATTCCCTTCCTCCCTTTAACTGTCCCTTTCCTCCTGACCATAATAATCCTCATACCTCCCTTCCACCTCCCCACACCCCATGAGATTTCTGAAGTTTTCATAATTTTCATTCGCGTTTTCCGATACGTTACAAAGGAGTAAATAGCACAACTCCTAACAAAAACATAGACCTAATCATATTCTTTAAAACAAAGAAAACTACCGACCTCCTTATTAAAAACAGCCCGAAGCCGATGGAGAACCCTTTACAGCAGTCAAACGTGGTATACATGTACACCTGCCCTCACGAAGGATGTAACCTTCAATCTAAGTACATAGGTATGACGTCGACCAAGCTGACGAGACGTTTGTCCTGTCATCTTCAATCAGGTGCCCCTAAAAAATCACATGAGACAAGCCCATGACATCACCTTAACAAGAGACATGTTGAATAAAAACACGTATTATACATAAAACCCAAGATGTAAGATGTGTAAATATTTAATTCAAAATGATCTGCTGCCAGAAGTTTTGGCCAAATATCCTCAGTTTGCTAACTGTAGGTAGTAACAAAGTGATTGTAACCTATCCACCGCTGCCCACTGGCTGGGGGGCGGTGTGCAGGACAAACATATCAGTTGTGGCACTAGCTCTCCACATATGTCAGTTGCTTAATTTAGAAACTGTACTTGTGGTCGGTCTCGAGCCAATTGTTAATGTGACGATGTGCAGTGAATTTTGTAACTAGCTCATCGAGACTAACTTGCTTACTTAGATGAATTGTGGAGTTCAGTACCTGAGCCCAATATATATATCCTCTGTAACCCTTTCCACTACCGCCCACAGGATGGGTATGGGGTGCATAATAAATGAACTAAACTAAACTGGGTTGTGTGGGTACATATGTTGGTGATTAAGGCAAAAAAAAAAGTGGTACATTCTTGCAAAGCCACTAATTGCGTTTTGGTCAGGTCCGAAAACACAGAATTTGCTGTGAAGCTAAAGCTAGATGGTAGTCAATATTAGGAAAAAAAATATATGTAAAGATAGATATATATATAGCAACAGGATTTGAGGTTACTTAATTACTATATCAGTATAAAGTGATGATAAAAAAATATAATGATGTAGTTGCATTTCTAGATAACAAAATGCTAGGTGGGATACTATGGTGATGAAATTAGGTAAAGTATAGGTTGGACAATTTTTTTGTTAATCACTAGGAAGCGAGTTCCATATATCGGAATCTCTTATTTGCATGACGTGTTTACACAGATTTACTCTGATGGGAATACCGTATAAGATATATTTATTTTTGATGTGATGTTCATGGGCTGTATTGCGTCCATATAGGAAGAGTTTCAAAACAGGATTAGAATTTAAGAATAAAACTTTGTAAATGTAAATAGCGCAAGAGAATGTGCGGAGCGAGTGATGCTTAGCATGTTCAGAGATTTGAACATACGGGCTGTGTATTTGCTGAAGACAGAATTGTTATAGTTTTCATAGCTAATTTTTGCTGGGTAATGAAAGGCTTGAGGAAGTTTGAGTGGTTGAGCTACAAGCACAGGTAACATAAGTTAGACAGGGATAGATTAGTGAGTAGTATAGTGTGAGAAGGTGATTGAGACAAAATCATATCATACATTTGTTAGTATATCAACAATTTTAAACTTTTTTGGGGGGGGGGGCTAGGTGCTATGAGTACTGAAGTTAAGTCTCTTGCCTATGTATAGACCAAGGAACTTAATCTCACTTTTACGCTCAATGTTTACATTGTCTATCTAAAGGTGAATTTGGCTCGATGATTTGTTTCCTAATAAAATGTAAGAGGTCTTTTGTATGTTTAGTGAGAGTTTGTTTGTTCACATTTACGAGTGAACTTTTTTTTTAACTAGTTTTCATTACTTACATTACTTGAACCAAGTCTCGCCTCTTCAAGTGCGCTTGCAGACCTTGCTGATTGTCCCACAACCAAATTATGATGAATAATTCCCAATTTGTATGTGCATAATTATTTTTGTGTAATACCCACTATGTAGTTATTTAAATTCAGCCCGAGTTATTGGCCAACCACTAATAACAAGATTAATGCGTGAGCCTCTATAATGGAGAGCAATTACTGAACACATGGTGGTGGTATAATATATTATTGGTTAGCTCGTCTTGGTGAACCATCTGTTAGCAAGCACGATCGTGAACTTGAGAAATTAGAACAAGACTTACCTTGTGCTGTTAAAGTAAGTTAACCCGAATGTAACGACATATTTATAATGTGCATTGCAAACGATTTATACACTTAAAAGTACACTTAGCACCGCTTCTCGGTGTATATTTAAACTAAGTGTGCTTTACTCAGACTAAGGTAGGACCTATATAGGCTACGGACTTTGTTTCCAAATTGGAATGCTCATAACACATTAATTATGGTTCGCTATACATGTTGGTAAAGATCATCACTGGCTCAATTTCCTATGCCGCATAAGTTTCCATGAACTCTCGCACCTGCAAGTACACATATGTTGTATATTAATCCAGCCCACGCTTAAATGCAAATAAGTGTTCCATTTGCATATGCCCCCCCCCCCTCACGGTCCTACTGGAGGGGGAGAGAGGGGAGTGGAGGGGGGCTTCAGTGTCATATAAGACAGTCAGCCAGCCGCTGACACTAGTACACACACAGGTGTGGTGAACAAATGCCGGACCTCCGCCGGCGCCTGCAGACTTGACCCGCCTCAACACTCTTACTTGGGAAGTGTCATATGACACATTACCAGCTGGTGGTGCGTGTTGATAGTATCAACTGGTGGAACATGAACAAATCCATAAGGGCCGTGACGAGGATTCGAACCTGCGTCCAAGAGCATCTCAGACGCTGCCTTAATCGACTGAGCTAGGCGATTAAGGCAGCGTCTGGGATGCTCTTGGACGCAGGTTCGAATCCTTGTTACGGCCCTTGTGGATTTGTTCATTGATGCATCACGCTATTGTGATTTCTGTGTGTAATGGTGGAACTTGTTGATATTACCAGCTCGTGGTGCGTGTTGACATTACCAGCTGGTGGTGCATGAGACAATTCCATCACGATGCATCACTGAGCAACAACGTGAGGGTAGGAATAGAAGACTCGTCCAGTTTTCTCGATGCTACTGATTAAAAATCGAACGTCATGGTAAGTCGCTGAAAGATTCTGGTTAAATTATAGTTAAGGGGCGCAAATATTCAATGTGTCATTACGAAAATAATCTCTACAATAGCAAGTGTTGTATGGAATAAAGCAAGAGTCAATAGAGAGCTAATTAACGTCCCTCGCTTGAGAATGATTTATGCGTTTTGAAGGGAAATCAATTTTTTGCTAATTGATACATGATATAGTACCCTAAAACCGTTCCTTGGTGTAGTTTTTGAAGAGCACCCTGAACTGCTAGTCTCATTTGACCATTTTTACGAGCAAAAACTTTCCAAAATATGCTCCGTACTTTTCATTAGTAGAGAAAATGTGTTATATTTAACTTTAAAATTAGTTATTGGATCCATATACTTATCGTCTTATCAACTTCACTTTCTATACTGCATTTGCCTGTGGTTCTCAACACATATTTCTTAAGTAAGAAAAATGTGGGCAGCAATGAGGAAAGTTATAAGAACAATGTCGTTCAAGAACAGAAAAGACAGCACTGAAACACTGTTGATCTTGTCCTGAGTGACTTGTCAAACATTACTGTCAAGGGTTTTGCAATTCGGTTTTTACTTCCTTTATTTTTCTTGTAGAGTTTAGCAGGTGCTTTATTTGTCTTGGTTTTATTTAGCACTGTGAGCACATCGAGCTCACAAGTGGTAATAGTCTGAAGGCGGTCTTCCTCATTTTCTAGCAGGGGTGTAGGAAAGGGAATATATTATACATTTTATATGGTAAATTCGGAAGCAAAAATCTGATTTAAAATTGTTGCCATAACTTCTTCACAAGCTAAGACCCCATTTTATGTTTCCTTAGGACCAGGAGGTAGGGAAAGAAAGAACTATGTCTTTTTAAACTAATATAAATGAAAAATTCCTTTCAGTTTGTTTACTATTTTCAGGAATGTATATCATAGTTACGTAGCTGTTTTGTGAATCTTGCTGTAAAACAACATATTCTAGTTTATTGTTTTGGTTTAATTTTTGTGAAATGAGTTTTGGTTTAATTTTGTGTTATTGAAATGAATGACGTATACTTGATCATGTGTGCCCTGCGCCACACAGGTGAATGGGGCGCTGCGAGCCTCACCAGGCTGTGAGAACTTTGGACATCACTGACCTTCCAGCAGCCTCATATCATTTTGTTTATTATTGCCGCCGGAACCGGCTGGTTTATTGTGTACCCTCATACTCATCCTGTGAATAGTTGCACAAAATGATTACAGAGCACGAAAGATTAGTCCTTAGCTGATGCGCTAATTACTGACCTTCCAACGTCTTGACGTCAAGATCAGCCGATCCACTACCTTTCAACTGATCCAAATCCTTACCTGGTTGGTTTGTCGACCTCTAGGATCTCAACTTTCTCACTTTTGACGCATTTAATCATAAGGCCCCAGTGATCAGTTGGTCACAGAACATAACGAAATCGTCATTTACTATTGCAGAAGCTGTGGCTGCAGGTGGTGGTGGTTGGGGTGACGGTGGTGTGTGTGATGGTGAAGAGAGTGGAGGAGACGGAGGAAGTGGCCGCAGCAAAACATGATGTCTTGGGGACGTTGCTAGAGCTCCTCCTACCTCACAACAATGACACCAGCCCCCGTCACCTTGATGACAACAGTACTCGCAGCAGGTACGACACTAAAACAAACATACAATACATGATGAAGTGTTTTATGTCTTCATAAACACACATACAAGTCAAAGCTGAACACAAAATACCAATTGAGGTATTTTGACTTCAGTTTTGAACCCTGACAAAATACCAATCGAGGAAGTATAAATACAAATTAATTAATAACACACAATTTCTCAAGAGTATCATAGAGCGAGAAGGGAATTAAAGCAGAGAGAAGGAGAAAGAGCATGACTGTTCTTTACAAAATCATTTTTTAAGATGTGAAAATTAAGGAAGCAAACAGCTATGCAGAATATATCATATGAATTATTTCAATAGGAGGATAGTAAAAGGATACACAACTTACGAGATAGTCACAGAAGACCCAGACAAGAATACCAGATGTAGAAACAAACCCAAACTGAAAACAATGCTGAAAGCATTGCAAGAATTCAATAATAGCCAAATTGAGCGGAAATCGATGTAACCGAGACTGAGAGAAGTGACATGGAGAGCAAAATTGACAAAAGTAACCAAAGGAACTTTCTAATGCATGTTAGGCAGGAAATACGGAAATGGACTATGGAGAGACGGGGAGGGGGGGGGGGGAAGAGGACACCACCCTATAAGACTTAGCCTTCATAGAGAACTAAAGTAACAATGTAGAGCATAATAGTATGCAAAATGGTGGATCAATTTCTCAGCCCCCTAGGAACAAGTCAGGGTTTTAATGCACTTAGGAGTCATTAATTTAATGTCAGGAGTTTTTCTCAGGATTTTAAATTGCATCTACACAAATGAAGGAAGCCTAGTAAATAAATATGAGACACTGTGCGTATACACTGAGGCTAAGAGTCCCGATATCATTGGCATCGGTGAAACATGAGTACGAGGAGACATAACTGAAAGGAATTCCATCTTCCAGGATACCATAAATCTCCCAGAAAATACAGAACAATAAGAACAAGTGGTGCGATGCTGTATGTGAAAGAGGACTTGAATGCAACCAGCAATGAGGAATTAAACATCATGGGATACTCAGAATCTGTATGGTGGAACATACTAGCTCAAAAATTGTAGCAAACTAACACTGGGAGTATGCTACAAGGAAGAACGGAAATCCAAGCTCTTATAATGTGGAACTTTAACCACGAGACAATAGATTGGATGAATGCTAACAGCGGCAACAATCAAATCACAAGTAGAACGAGAACAATTTCTTGACCTAATACAGAATTCCTCACAGAGCATTTGACAGAGCCCACCCGAGGTAACAGCACTCTACATTTTGTGCTAACATCAAAAGAGGGTATGAACGATCAAATGAGATAGGGAAAAAGCTCACCGCTTTTTGTTATCACAATATTCTAAGATGGATTACAATTATAGAAACACATGAAAAGTTCCAGGATGATGACTTTTTAGACTACCCTCGACGAGACTATTAAAGAATTACAAAACACCTCTAGCAGGGGAGTTAATAGGAGATTACGGCATGAAAGCATCATGGGGAAAACTTCATTGAAGCATCATGGGAAAACTGAAGTCAAGACAAAAAAAAAGAAACTAATACACACACATTATATTATACATATATATATATATATATATATATATATATATATATATATATATATATATATATATATATATATATATATATATATATATATATATATATGCGAACAAGCCTGAATGGTCCCCAGGACATATGCAACTGAAAACTCACACCCCAGAAGTGACTCGAACCCATACTCCCAGAAGCAACGCATCTGGTATGTACAAGACGCCTTAATCCACTTGACCATCACGACCGGACTAATGAGGTGATAGCCGAGGCTATTTGAACCACCCCACCGCCGGCACTCGGATAGTTATCTTGGGCATAGCATTTTACCAAATCACCTCATTCTTTGGGGCAACACGTGAGGAACACAAATGCGAACAAGCCTGAATGGTCCCCAGGACATATGCAACTGAAAACTCATATATATATATATATATATATATATATATATATATATATATATATATATATATATATATATATATATATATATATATATATATATATATATATATATATATATATATATATATATATATATATATATATATATAATATATATATATATATATATATATATATATATATATATATATATATAATATATATATATATATATATATAATATATATATATATATATATATATATATATATATATATATATATATATATATATATATATATATATATATATAATCTTCGTTATTTATTAACAAATTAATATGCGTTTTCTTTTCCAACTCTCAGACATTACCGGAGAGGCAACAAGAGTCAATTTCCTAACTATTATGAGATATTCTTGAAGGGAGTACAAGATGGCAAGAACTACATCGAAAGACAAGTTACAGAATTATTAAACAGAGACTATCAGGAGAGACCAGTGACAGGACTAATAGACAGCGACTACCAGGAGAGACCAATGACAGGAGGACTACTAGACTTCAACTACCATGAGAAACCAGTGACAGGAGAACTACTAGACTTCGACTCCCAGGAAACACCAGTGACAGGAGAACTACTACACTACAACTACCAGGAAAGACCAGTGACAGAACTACCAGACTTCCACTACCAGGAGAGATCAGAGACAGGAGGACTACTAGACAGCAACAATCCAGGCTTCAGTATAAATAGCGTCCTGTACGACACAAAAAACTATGTTCATGTTCGTACTGCTCTGGCTGTGGCTTCCGGAGCGCTGCTCTTGAAGTTTGGCCTCTGTGTCTTCACGGGCTTCCTCTGTCCAGACCTTATCACCACCACCAAATGCACCACAACCCTACCCACCACAACTACCGATTCATTCGCCACAACCATATATAGCACATTCACCACCACAACTATTGTTTCAGTCATCCCACCCACATCCATAACATTTACCGTAACAACTACTGAAGCATCCACCACAATTACCAGTATATCTACCACAACTATATCCACTACACTCACCACCACAACTACTCATACATCCACCACAACCACAACTGTACCCACCACAATCACCAGCAAAACTACCGTAACTTCCACCACAACCACAAGTATACCCACCACATATAGCTATATATCCACCACAACTATACCCACCACAATCACCACCACAACTACCGAAACATCCACCACAACCACAACTATACCCACCACAACCACCACCACAACTACCGAAACATCCACCACAACCACAACTGTACCCACCACAACCACCACCACAACTACCGAAACATCCACCACAACCACAACTATACCCACCACAATCACCAGCACAACTACCGAAACATCCACCACAACCACAACTGTACCAACCACAACCACCACCACAACTACCGAAACATCCACCACAACCACAACTATACCCACCACAACCACCACCACAACTACCGAAACATCCACCACAACCACAACTATACCCACCACAACCACCACCACAACTACCGAAACATCAACCACAACTATACCCACCACAATCACCACCACAACTACCAATACATTCACCACGACCAAATCCACCACAATAACCACATCCACTACATTGACCACTACCATATCTACTACATTCACCACTACCATATCTACTACATTCACCACCACCATCTCCACCACTCACACCTCCACAGTCACCAGCACCATCACACGTGCTACACTCACCAGCACCACTACACTCACTACCACTGAACTGACCACGCTCACCTCCACCACCACAGTCACCACCACAATCACCTCACGTGGTGGCGGCAGCTTCCGCACTGCCACCATGCCAGTAGCAGTCACCCGGCCACCAGATATCCCAACCTTCAGCACTGCCATGCCCAGCAGCTCTAGTATAAGCAGCAGAACGCTACCGCAGGTCTACTGACTCCTTTGATGTCGAGAATATTTTTTTACGTGCCTGTGTGTGGCTGATGGCATGAAAGACATATATAAACTCTCGGTAGGTGGCTAATAGTTCAGACCGTCCTCTCGAGCGTTCTCAACGTCACTAAACTGATGTACAATGTTATTTGTTCACTTAAAGTTTTAAAGTTGATAAAATAGAACAGTAAAAGGGAGGTTGCGCGCCTGAACGGAACATTAATGTGAAAATTTTGTTCCTACAAATACGAATTCCTCTTCGCCTCATTTCAGGTATTTATTAAATTCAAATTTCCTTTGCTTTATTCTTATAAAGTTATAGAACCTATGTAGATTATTAGAAAATTAATTTAGTTTCGGCTTGGTATCATAAACAAATGTAGAGGGCGAGCATTGGCTACCCCTAGCCAGCCAGGGGTAGCCAATGCCCTCTCACCACCAACCATGTATTTGCATCCACTGAAAATCATTGTAACGTCCACTACTTTCACAAGTTCATTCAGGGAGACCATATTGTCATCACAAGATAAAAAAAAATAAAAATACGTCACATAATAATCCATCGAGTACCCTGATTCAGGTGCCGCCGCGGTTCCATGATGACGGTCAAAGACTCTGTGGGTATAGAGGACTTAAATATATATAATTTGTCCTAACATTGCTATTATTCCCAGATCTGTGGCGGTCGGAGGCGCTACCTTACATCTAATGAAATACTTCCCAGTTTCTCGCATGTCCTAACATTCAGGCTGTTGCATATTACCAGGAATTCCATAAAAAAGTGATGTTTATTGGAAGAGTTAACAGCTAGTTTCCACATTACTAATACTCAGGTATTAGTAATAATACAATCATTA